TACCGCGCTAGGTGCAATAGAGAGCATGTGTGGTAACGCTACCGACCGCGCCATGTGTGATTCTTATCCGTGGGTCATAGTTCGTGCAATATAACTAAAGCGTCATGGAATAAACGTCATTTATATTGAGCTACATTACAATGCGTCCAACACTCGACAGATCGACCCCGATCAAACCAACCGCTGAACAATGTCACACTCGCGTTGCCATGGTGACGACCAATAACTGGGGGTCGCCCATGGTGGCAATACAACTCTCCGAACCTCACAAACACATATATGTTTCGATGCGGACTGACGAGAGAATTACGATGGTACTCGAAGTTTTGGCTTAGCTTGATTACTTCAAAAGTTATTCGTAAAAAACTGTCTTCGCATCTAGAGCCGCTAATTTCGCTATTTTGACCCCTGTGACCCCTGCGTCAACCTCCAAAACGCGGCAAATGCGTCATAGGACACACGTCATTGCTGAATCTGAAGCTGACTCGCAATATAACAGAAAATCCCGACCGCAAACTAACACCGGCCAAATTGCCCCACACCCCCGGCCAAACAACCCTGCTAGTGGGGCAATTTGGCCGCTTTGCAGACCTTTGTAATACGTCACAATTTCAATATAAGTAATTACTCTATCATTCCAAGTTCATTGTCCAGTAAAGTAAAATGAATGCGACACCTGCCAGCGTTGAGAAAATGCAGAAATGTGTCGTCACTTTTAAGCTACATCGTTTTCTAAAAAAGCGGCCAAATTACCCCAACCTCCCCTACCACTAAATACCTAACTGGGCTCCATTTTATTGGAGTCATTGAAATGGTCAAATTTGAAGAGTTTCAAACTTTTTATTATCTAACCATGTCTTAGACCACCTGCGATGCTGAAGCTTGGTATGGTTGATCATGACAAGGCTGATAAGTTAGCATATCCAACAAAACTGGCATTTGTCACTCTATTTAGCTAACATTTTTGGTGGCGATTTTTCCAAGTGAATAGCAGGCCACATGGGGTGACTTTGCCACCATGTTATTTATGCAAAAATCGAATACTTATCCAATGCAATTCAAACTAATTTTCAACGTAGCATCATTTTGACCTCCAAACTGGTTTTTAAAAAAGTGAGAGTTTATACGTTTAAAATTAGCACAGGAATGCACAGTGGGAATATAGAAAGGCAAAAATTACCAAACTAAAAAAAAAAATGGATGAAGCTGGGCCCAACTTTTCAGCACAGTCATGAATAGGGCTGCGGAGTCGATGGATTTTCGGCGACTCCGACTCCGGCTTTCAAAACCAGCTCCGACTCCGACTCCGACTCCGGGCAGAATTGTCGACTCCGACCGACTCCAACTCCCGACTCCGACTCCGCAGACCTAGCAGGGCTGCGGAGTCGACATATTTTCGGTGACTCCGACTCCGACTCCGGCTCGGGTTTCTAAAATCGACTCCGACTTCGACTCCGACTCCGGTCACAACTGTCGACTCCAACCGACTCCGACTCCGACTCCGACTCCGACTCCGACTCCGCAGCCCTGGTCATGATCATCTACAACTCCTGAGTTTGCCAGTAAGACTAGCTGAAAAAATCTGTATCATTTTATAGATCAAAACGCTGATAATAAGGGTGCCGGTAAGATGCCGCAAGAACGTCTTCTTTCTGTTCCTCTCAATGCCACTGGAGGAATGTGGCACGGTCCTAGAGTAGGTACCGATACAATCATATTTTTGCTTATTTATCGATTCTGAACCATTTTTCAGTTTCTATTTTCTATCAATGTCATTAATTTTCAACAAATATATTGTATTATAAAAGTAATGTATCTCTCCTTTTTTTGTACATCATTTAAGAGCAAAAAACTTTGAATTGCTTTATTTGTTTCCTATTAAACAATTAAAGATGGTTGCCCTCCCCCATACAATGGAACAAAAATGCTTAAAAATTATTTGCAAGCGTTAAAGGGAGATAATGACCTTTTTCCACAAAATCTGAGTTAGGACCATTTTCTGACAAAACACAACAAGTTATAATGTAAATTAAAACCATTTTGCTCAATTCGGTACCTTGCCGCAAATATCTCAACTTGAAGTCACGTTAGCGGGGAGCGCTGAAAATGACCGTTGAATAAGTACTTACATCACTTTTTGGTACTTGCATGTAATTTTGTAAAATGAGCGTATTCCTTACATTTGATCTTCATCACATCTAGTTAGTTAATGGTCGTCTATAGTGCCTTCAAAAGATATTCATGGTTTGGGGGTGGTTTATGTCTAAATTTACGCAACTATTTTTCCTGTTCATCATCTGACGCCATATGCTGCTATTTTAGTAGCAACGACTCAATTTTGAATCGGTCCCGCCGACTGCACAATAAAAGAAGATAGATACAACACTTTTGCGGCATCACTGAAAAACTTATGCAGTACTGTTATCGAAATTCTCATAACACCGTTCGACAAACCTGAAGTCTTTTTGAAATAAATATGCTTGTATTTTTCGCTTCAGGCTCTGACGCCAAAATAATGAATTTCGTAGTCGCAATCGCAAGATTTGGCTGCGTTTCTGGCGCATGCCGTTCATTTGTGGCGCAAAATAATACTTGGAAACAAAGAAGAGTAGGCACTATGTACCCCCGAATTAGAATCTAAAATTAATTCTAAACCGAATTAACTCTAATTCAAATTAGAATCCTTACAACCAAGCAACGACAAGGCATAAACAAAAACCCAAGCGTCGCTGTTTGAAACAAAAGCGCCATATACTGCGACTTTTTTATAGAGAAGGACAACGCATTTCGGTGGGTGTTACAAGTACTGCAAGTACTGCTTTTTTTTTGCAAAAATAAAAACTTTTTCACATACGAAAATGTGCTAGGAAATTTTCATATTTTATAGAAACTACAGTAGAAATAGTATAGATGTCGAGTAATTTTTATTTAAGAAAAAATAAAGCTCATTATCTCCCGTTAAAAACCATTTTTTTGACATAGTGGCAAAGTCACCCCTTTTTCAGTTTAACTTTGCCACGACTCATTTTCTTTAAAAAAAATATATTTTTAGGCAAGATATAAATATGATAGTAGCAAAACCAAAAGAGCTAATCTTCATCCGTGTTTTGAACATAGAGTCATCCCAACAAGTTAAGAAGTGTAATACAAGCGTCTAAAGTTGAAAACATGGCAAAGTCACCCCCGTTTACGGTACATGATGACCTTGAGCTCACGTAACCTTTAGGTCAAGCGACCTGAGGTAACGTGACCTGAAGCCAACCTTTGACCTTGACCTCTCGAGGTCAACACATACATGTTTCGATGCGGAATGACGAGAGAATTACGATGGTACTTTCAGTTTTGGCCTAGCTTGATTACTTCAAAAGCTATTCATAAAAAACTGTCATCGCATCTAGAGCCGCTATTTTGACTATTTTCGACCCCTGTGACGGCTGAGTCAACCTCCAAAATGCTTCAAATGCGTCGTAGGACACGCGTCATTGCTGAATGTGAAGCTGACTCGCCGATAACAAAAATCATGGCCTCGAACTAACACCGGCCAAATTGCCCCACACCCCCGGCCAAATAACCCTGCTAGTGGGGCAATTTGGCCGCTTTGCAGACCTTTGTAATACGTCACAATTTCAATGTAAGTAATCACCCTATCATTTCAAGTTTAATGTCCGGGAAAGTAAAATGTATACCACACCTGTCAGCGTTGAGAAAATGCAGAAATGTGTTGTCGACTTTTAGTTACATCGCTTTCTAAAAAAAGCGGCCAAATTACCCCACTCTCCCCTACGGCTTTTTGTGACCCTGCATGAGAAGCAGCAAGCAGACTTTGGGAATCATTGCCATGTATAATTTTGGCTATTTGTATGAAATGAACGCACGCTAGCGGCGTTTGAAGTTGCGAGTATCTGACAATCATTTTACGACATAGAAAATGTCACGACTTCTGACAATCATACACCAGGCCAGTTTTGACAAAAATATGAAAATCGTGTTTTTTTCAGACACCCCAAACATTTGCCTGACTGGCCATATTACGATTTTTTCGATTAGGTGAACTTGAAATTTGGGCCTTTTCGGTATTTATGGCCTCTCGTGAACCCCATTTGCATCACTGTGCCCCCGTCGGTGCGCGGGTGTTGTACTTCAGATGAGCTTAACTTTTTAAGTACACTTAAGCAAGCAAAAAATATATCAACCGACGCGCCTTGGCGTGCTGAGTACACTGGTGCTTTTGTTTTTGCTCTATCTTAATTAGATCAAAAGTTATAAGAGAAAAACTTTTGGCCTGTTTTAGCGAAATTTTTACACCAGAAAAATCACTAGCATACCAAAACGACGTATTCAGGACTTATGTATATGGGGAGCAGTCGACGCTAGTGGACCATGGGACACAAAAAAAAGTGCTGTCTCCCCAAAATCTGAGAGATTGAACCCCATCTTGACCCTCCCTACTAGGTATTCATTTGAATCTATGCCAAGTTTCACGTTCGTGGCTCATCGGGTTTCAGAGATATTCTACAAAACGTAAAGGGGGGTGCAACTTTATGCCCCCCCCCCACCCCGCAGCGGTTCGTGGGTTAAAATATGATAGACCACGTTTCCATGGGCTCACTGATCCGGATCAGTAAAAATGGATTAGCTAAATCCAGTATAGTTAGTCAATATATGAAAATGAAAATAAGGGATTAACTGATTATATAAGCCTAATCCATATCGAATGATATCATGTAGCGAAGAGTTCGAGAAACATAATACGATTTAAATTTGCTGATCCGGAACAGTGATGCCCATGGAAACGGGGTCATAGACTGGAATGCGCAGACATCATATTGCATGTAATGGACGTTTTTTAATGCAAACTTCAGACATGGAGCTGCCAACTCGTTTTAAAGACATTTTACGTTTACGAGATAAGGCTGAGGTAATGCTAGTGACGCCTTTGCATTAGGGCCGCGTGGTTTGGAGGCTGCTGCCGACGCTGACGCCCGTCGCCAATCCGGCAGAGTCGCGAGGAGCAGCGTCACCGGCACGCCGACTCGTCACCGGGGCCGGCCGGAACGCCGGTGGCGCGGACCAGCACCGTGATGCCCGACCTGCTGCCGGTCAGTACCCAGTCAGCAATCTGTCACTTTATCGGTCAGTGGTCAGTGGGTGGGGTCAGTGGTCAGTGGTCAATGGTCAGTGGGTGGGGTCAGTGGTCAATGGTCAGTGGGTGGGGTCAGTGGTCAGTGGTCAATGGTCAGTGGGTGGGGTCACTGGTCAGTGGGTGGGGTCAGTGGTCAGTGTATGGGTCAGTGGTCAGTGGTTAGTGGTCAGTGGGTGAGGTCAGTGGTCAGTGGAGTGGTCAGTGGTTAGTGGTCAGTGGGTTGGGTCAGTGGTCAATGGAGTGGTCAGTGGGTTGGGTCAGTGGTCAGTGGTTTTATCAGTGGTATGGTTGAATGACAGATATGTGCATAGATCCGCATAGATCCGAGAGGCGGATCTATGATCTTAGTAGATCCCTCGACAAACTGTACGCCGTGCACGATAACGGGACTCAGAAAAAGAAAATTGAGCGACGCCAGAAAGTTTTGAGCTTTGCCTCTAGAGTAATCTTCGGACGGCGTCGGTTCGACCCCGTCTCGGACCTGCGCGACACACTTGGCTGGCTGCCCCAAATGCTATGTCAGATTACCTGACACTCACGATCGCGCATAAGGTCATTAATCTCCGACTTGCTGCTCCTTCGAAAGGCTGTCGTGTGATAACGGGATTGTATTTGCCTGTAACATGTGCCCACACGACCAGACTTTGTGAGGTGACCAGTAGGGTTGTTAAAAAAACGAATTTTTGGAAAAGTATATGGGCTCATGGCTCATGTGGTGCGGTATTCTTTTCTGAGTCCAATGATGCCCTTTTTCCGGAAAGTATTACTGCTAGGCGCTGCTCAAACCGCTTAAAGAAGACCATGTTACGCCCGCCGACCGGCCGGTGTCAATAAGGGCGAGAACGCGACGCCGCGCGCCGGCGGCAGCGCCTTATCGGCACCGCGCGCCACGACACTTGCCGGGCGGCCGGCTGGGCGGTGGGAAGTTATAAGTGCGTGGTCTTATTGCACACGATCGGGGTGCGCTATCCCATGTTTTCGGGGCGTAAAGTTTCAGTGCAGCATCGGTGCGTCTGCCACGGTGGTCTGTGTCGATGGTACAGAAAATAAGTCAAACAGAGCTACATAGAAAAGAGTGAGTGATTCTGGATAGTTGCCTCGAAACAATCCGTTTTAAGAATACAGCTGCCTTCTTAACGTACCGTATCACTTGTTAATCCTTCAAATACATAGCAAACTCTGAGCAATAACACACCTCTTTGCATTGTTGTTGACAATTAACGTTAGTTTTGGACGGTGGCTCGCACCCCCAATATGCTGCCGCGCAACTTTATTCCAACGGCGAAACGGCAACTTCGCGATAATCGAAAATTCACGATATACGTACAGCAGGGGCTGGCAATGCAGTATGCACAAGGACAGAATATGGCGGAGACCCGACAGTCATGGCCCAAGTTTGGGGGTGGCTTTGACGAGCATAGGCGTCACCAATGTCATTATTCAGATACGTTGATGTCAGATGCTGGGGCAACAGAATCGACGCCAGGTTTAACTTAGATTAGCAGGTCGAAAGAAAACCTAACATGTCTGGGAATGACAGGGTGGCCACACTGACAGTGTGACGAAGTGAGACATGAGTAGAGACGTTAGCCGGAGTACGTACTCATATAAATCAAGCGCCGTTTATCCAATCCTTCGAGCATAAGGACGCCGGCAGTCCGGCCAGGGCGGCCGTGCCCACCGATGCCGATCAAGATCCGAATCCAGACCCGGCATAGAACACGGCTCTGCCCTGACGTGACACATTACCCCGGCGTGTCATTCATGACGGATAGACCAATGCAGGAGCCTTGCCAGCTCCTGTTATACCTACTTCGTTAAATTTTCGATTCTCGCTAAGTTGCCGTTTCGTCGTTGGAATAGAGTTACACGGCAGCATATTGGGGCTGCGAGCCACCGTCCAAAAGCAACTTAAATTATCAACAGCAATGCAAAGAAGTCTGTTATTGCTCAGAGCTTGCTTTTTGAAGAATTAACAAGTGATACAGTACGTTAAGAGGGCAGCTGTATTCTTGAAACGGATTGTTTCGAGGCAACTACCCGGAATCATTCAGTCTTTTCTGAGCTCTGTTTGACTTATTTTCTGTACCATCGACACAGACCACCGTGGCAGACGCACCGATGCTGCACTGAAACTTTCCGCCCCGAAAACATGTGATAGCGCACCCCGATCGTGTGCAATAAGACCACGCACTTATAACTTCCCACCGCCCAGCCGGCCGCCCGGCAAGTGTCGTGGCGCGCGGTGCCGATAAGGCGCTGCCGCCGGCGCGCAGCGTCGAGTTCTCGCCCTTATTGACACCGGCCGGTCGGCGGGCGTAACATGGTCCTCTTCAAGCCGTTTGAGCAGCGCCTAGCAGTAATACTTTTCGGAAAAAAGGGTTTAATTGGACTCAGAAAAGAATACCGCACCACATGAGCCATGACCCCATATACTTTTCCAAAATTCGTTTTTTTTAACAACCCTAGTGACCAGCCCTTACAGAACATAAAAGATATAACACAGGCAGATACATTCCGAAATTGAGATGCATAATAACAGTACGCCGTATCTAATCAAGACCGCAATATCTATACTACTATTTGAGGAGGGTGCGTCTGTCCGTTACCGAGGTCCCGACTTGGTGGTGCTTTGCGTGGACTACAGGCCAGACCGTTGCACCTAGCCCGGTGAAATTTGTACAACTTATAGATCAAAGATGCGCGACGTGCCTTTGAGGGGTCTCAGCTCGATCGGGTCGTTAGTGAGCGCGTGGCGCGTGCTCAAAAAGTGCAAATTCGCGTCATAGACTTTACATGTATAAATCGACGTGCGAAATCGGGCGAAAACGGCTAATTTTGGCCGACACGGGTCCAGTTCCCGTGCAATATCTTGGTGACCAGGGGTCCGACCGGCACGGGGAAAACAGCATCGTGTACAGAATTGAACGGGCTATTGAATGGTGTGCAATGCAGAGGATAGCACGCGCCACGTGCACCGGAGAGGGCACTTTTATTTGAAAAATTGCGGTTTTTGAGGGATTTTGGAATTAATTTTATTTTTAGGTGACCGTTAAATGGAGCGAGTTGAATCAACGCCTATTTGCAAGAGAAAGGTACCGCCTCTCATATAAAAATTGTGAAAAGCTGATTGATCCAAATCAAGGTGGTGCAAATCACAGGAGAAAATGGTGTTTGTCAATTTTTTGCCACTTTATTAATCACACGGGGTTTCCTGCATAGCCTGATACCTTTGGCAATTGAATATGGTACCATTGGATAGAGCATTCAATTCTGTCCAATATTCACTCTTCATTTTTGCATGATTAGCAACAGTATCCTTAACAATGTAAATGTTCCAAACCATTACATTGTCATTTTTAGCGAAATTCATCGATGGCCCTCAAAAGACTTCACGCCAGTTTTCGAATCATTCTAAAGTAGAACGCATGATAATACGACACGGGCACCTCGATGCGATGTATCTTTTAGTTTTCTTACAAAATGCTTGGCCGTCAAAAAGCAATCGAACGAAATGGATATCTACCAACCAAATCGACACAGACCAACCCAATACCCACGGGTCAAAAAATCCCCCCTTCGCGTTGCGGAGCACGCGGGTAACCCTAGTCAATAGCTATGCAGAGGTAAGGTAAAGCTATGCAGAGCAGAGAAGATGGTGGGGTGCGCGCACACCCGGTCATTCTCGTGCACCGGTCACCGAAAGGCCGCGCCGCCGCGGCCCACCCCGCCAGATTGCGTGCGTTAACATGTTTCAAGTTGTACTGTCTTGCCGTGTTTTGGCAGATCACACGAAGTCAAGACAGTTATCGGCCCTCCAAGGTTACCCGCCAGGCGGCAGCACTGACGGGTGACATAAGGCCACTAAATACTACATTTCCTCCTCCCCTACAACAAAAATAGTAACTTCATTTCACAGCTTATAATCGCCCGTGCCAGTAAAGTGCAAAGTAACTGAACTTCTAAGTACAGCAGACGCAAAAGCAGAACGACATCCGAGACCTCAGGCGATTATTACAGTACGACAACCGGTTAAGTATTGAATCCATAGTACACTGGAGCGCGAACAGCTCTTCCCGATCTCGTTGTCACTCCTGTGCCCGTCTCCGGCAGCCTTGGTCGGACGACACCAGACTTTTCCTCCGCCGTGCTCGTCTGCCCTTGCTGAAGGTCGGTTCGCGTCTGTCGCCCTCCAGTCCCTGTCGCCGTCCCAGTGTCAGGCTGCGTCGACGGGCGGCCGCTGGTCGTTTCGTCCGCCTTCAGGGGCGCCGGCGGCACGTCCAGCTGCTGCCCGTCCAGCCGGAGTTGACTGTCAGTTGTCTCTGGTTCCGGTATCGCCTCCAGCCTGTCCTGCTCCTGCTGCTCCAGCCGGTCGCGGTCGCCAGACGACTCCAGCTCCGCGTCAGCCGGTCCCGTCCGGTCGGCTGCACCGTCCGGCTGCACCGGCTCGCCTCTCCGGCCGTCGACCTCTGCTGGGCAGCTACCGGCGCTCCGCGTCAGGCGGTCAGCGTGGACGCGGGTGCCGTCATCCAGCAGATAGCTCGCTGGCCCCCGCTGCTGCACGATCCTTTTCGTCGCCGAAAACCGGAGCTGCCCCTTCCGCGCCTGCGGAGGAAGCCGGCGACGGACCTGGTCTCCCACAGAGAAGCTGGGCGTCTTGACTCCGTGGGAGCGTTCGAAGTACGTCTTCTGATAGGTTTGTTTCCGCTTCACGTGCTCATGCAGGTCACCAGGTCTCGCTGGATGACGTCCGCCGACGTCCAGTGCCGCGCTGAGTTTGCCCCTCATTGGTCGTCCGTGAAGCAGCTCAGCCGGGCTCCTTCCAGTGGTCGCCTGCACCGTACTCCGGTACGAGAACAGGAACATCTGCAGATATTGAGACCGGTCAGCCTTTTCCAGGTCAACTATCTGAAGTGCCGCTTTCACTGTTTTGTTGGCTCGCTCTACTTGACCTGATGACTGTGGGTGGTAAGGAGACACTTTGATATGGGCAACACCCACATTCCGCAAGTTGTAAGAAGCGAATCGTTCCGACGTAAATGCAGACCCACAGTCAGATACAATCTCTCGCGGGTACCCTTCCCGGCACGCCAACTCTTCCATAAACTGTATCACCACCTCTGACGTTGGTTGCTCGCAAAATCCCACCTCGATCCATTTCGAATAGTAGTCGATAGCGACGACGGCAAACCTCTGGTCGGGTCGACCTCCACTCATTGGCCCGATGAAGTCGATTCCCAGTTTAGACCATGGCTCACATGGGAGTTGAACGGGCTGCATGGGCGCGTGTCGCGGTGACGCCGTCTTGTCTGCGAGAGAGCAGATCTGACAGCCCTTTACCTGTTCCTCCACAGCCTGGTCCATGCCTGGCCACCAGTACAGGTCTCGCTGTCTTTGCTTTGTTCGGACGATGCCTTGGTGTCCTTCGTGTGCCAGTTCAACCAGTCTCGTCCGGAGCGCCGCAGGTACCAGGACTCGACCGCCACGCAAAATGACGTCATCTTCTACCGCCAGCTCGTCTCTGCAACGGAAGAAGGGCTGCAGTTCGGGCACGCACTCACCATAGCGTCTGGGCCACTGGCGCGGTATCTGCTGCCTCAGCTTACTGAGAACCGGGTCCGACTGTGACGCCGCCCTCAGCTCCGCGCCGGTCACCACGGCCCGCTCCTCCGTCAGGGCCGCAATCACCAGCTGTTCGTCGTCTGACGCCTCCTGCACTGATGATGGAAGTCGAGACAGCCCATCTGCCGGGTTGATGCGCCCCTTGACGTGCTCCACTGTGCAAGAATATTCCATTAACCGACACGCCCAGCGAGATATGCGCATTCCTGCCCTGTCGATCCCACGTGATGTCATCAGGGTAGTCAGTGCCTGGTGATCGGCCCTCAAGACAAAGTCCCTGCCCCACAGATATCTGTGCCACTTCTCGATGGCCCAGACACTGGCCAACGCTTCTCGTTCTGTGACACTATAGTTGCGTTGCGCAGTCGACAGCGTGCTGGATGCTAACGCAACCACTCTCTCACCCTCGGGGTGCATCTGCGTGAGCACCGCCCCGATGCCCACGTCACTGGCGTCTGTCGTCACCGCTGTGGAGAGGGTCGGGAATGGCCAGGGCGGGGCTGCTCAGAATCGCTGCTCTGACGTCCTGTTCATCTTCGGCGTCCACGCGAACGGCGGAGCGTTCTTCCTCAGGGGCTGCCGCAGTTCCTCCACCCTGGTGCTGTACCTGGGAATGAACAGGCCGTAGAATCCAAACAATCCCAGGACTGCCTGCAGCTCCTTGACTGTACCTGGCGGCTTCATGTCTCTCAGGCCCTGCACACGGTCGGGGTTCACGGCGACGCCCTCCCGGGACACTGAGAACCCCAGGAAGTCGATTCGGCTCACCCTTGTCCTTGTTCAAGGTCACATTGTACTCGCCGAGTCGTGACATGACGTCACTCAGACGGCGGTCGTGCTCCTCCTTGGTCCGTCCCGACACGATGACGTCATCGAGGTAAACCTGAGCACCAGGTAACCCTCGCAGGATGGTCTCCATCATCTTCTGGAAGCAGCTGGGGAGTGATCGGAGACCAAAACAACACCTCAGATATCGGAACACTCCCTTATGCGTTACAAACGCCGTCAACTGTCTGGACTCCTCATGAAGCAGCAGCTGGTGATAAGCAGCCTTCATATCGAGAGTCGAGAACAGTTCAGCGCCAACCAAGTTGTCCAACAGCTCCTGTATGTCAGGTAACGGGTAACCACTGATGCACACCGCCTTATTCACGACGCGCAAATCGACACATGGTCTCAGCTGACCTGATCGGCGCCTTGACACGACGATCGGAGAGCCACCGAATGTAATGACCTGTAATGCCCACCGAATGGTGGTTAGTGGGAATATGAAATAATAATAATAAATAATCTATAACTCAAGAAATATGAAAAATGGGCACTTTTTGTTGAAAAATGGCAAATGTTTCTTGTCTGGAAGCACACAGTGCAGAAGCATCGGATTCCTCAAAGCAATTCATCAGCGTCTTAGTATGTTTAAGATCTCTGCAAGATGTATCCCCCTTTGCTGACTCCGCAGAGAAAAGGCAAGCTCGAAAGGAGGCTCGAAAGGAAAGGAGGCGCGAAATTTCTGGTCCCTTTATCGACGATCTAGAAGATGTCACTTTGAACATCTTGTTACCGTAAAGGAACTGTGGGTGTTCGCGCAAATCAACTCCGGGCGGCCACCGGCCGTAGCAGGCAGAGGCGTTCACTCTTCGCCGTGTATTGGCGACAACAGCAACACGAAGGCGGCCAAAAACCCCTCACACACATTCCAAGGGTAGCCGGGGCAGCAAACGGTGAAACCAAACGTATCCGAATCGCCAGCCCAGCGCGGCCGTTCCCCTTGTCCACAACACATCCGAGCAAGCCAAGCTCAACCAGCACAATGGCGGCCGAAACCGATTCGATTGACCACGTGCGTACATCTCTATCATTCGAATATGTTGAAGATATTAAATACTACATGTCAGTCAGGATCATAACTAATTGTCGACGAAAGACTGAAACATTTTACATTTACATATCATTTAATTTGAGTTAAGTTACAAGTAATAATTGACAATCGAATTCAAGAGGTATTCCTGCGGCTACCCGCTACTATCGGGCGCCAGCAGCGCCTCTCCTGACGAATAGTGCAATTACAGTTTACGCCAGGCCGCGCTCAGAGGTCGCGCGTCACAGTTCCCAACAGTGGGTGTCACACGTTGACCCTAAGGGCGTGACCGAGTTGCGCTGTTACGTACCGGTAGCTGGATGTGACGGGGCGCTGGCTCTCCGTGTTGCAGACGAATGCCAGTCCCGGCAACGGTCGTCATCTGGACAAGTCGACCTCCGAGGAGGTGGGTGTACAGGCCGGCCGTCGCGCCGGCCTCCAAGCTGTACATAGTGGCCCGCTAGCACAGGTCTCCGGTAGTCGGGTGCGCAAAGGGACGGCCCGGGCGTGTGGGAAGGAGGGAAGGACGGCCCGGCCCAGCTCACAGTGATGCAAATGGGGTTCACGAGTGGCCATAAATACCGAATAGGCCCAAATTTCAAGTTCACCTAATCGAATAAATATGGCCAGTCAGGCAAATGTTTGGGTGTCTGAAAAAACATAATTTTCATGTTTTTGTCAAAACCGGCCTCGTGTATGAATGTCAGAAGTTGTGACATTTTCTATGTCGTAAAATGACTGCCAGATACTCGTTACTTCAAACGCCGCTAGCGTGCGTTCATTTCATACAAATGGCAAAAATTATGCATGACAATGATCCCCAAAGTCTGCTGCTTCTAATGCAGGGTCACAAAAAGCCTTATCTCTTTTAGTTTGGCGTTGATCTAACTATTTGTCATCATGTTGCAATCCCAGTTTCTTATCTAAAAATATTGGCTTTCGTTTCACCTACAGCAGTTTACACAGTGTGTGCCCGTTAGTGCACCACACCATAGCATTCTCTAATCATTTCTGAGCCGCGCTGTGAAAGAATGAAGGCGCTGGGGCATTCCACGATAGATCGTACCACTTTTTTCCAATTTGACACCTTCATCTCTCGGAATTTGACGAAAATTGGTCCCAGGGGTAATGAGGGGCTCTGAATCCACTTGTAACAATTTCAGGCTTATCAGATAAGTATTTTTTTAGTTATGGTGTATGACATTTTTTGGATCTTGCTTTGCAGCGCTAAGTTTGGCGGGCTGAACTCTAAGACGGATTATTCAAATGCCAAATGTTATATAACATTGAACTTGCAATGAAATAGAGATTATATGTATTTTTTGAAATTTTGAAAAATACGCTTTTTTATATATGACATCGAGTTTTTCTTTCATTTGTATTTTTTGGACCTTGGGACCAAATTTTTTGAAATTTTATTTCTTTAAGAAATATTTGGCTCATTTTGAAGACATATGCAAAAAAATTAGGAAGGTGTTCTTTCTATCAATGTATTTATTTTCCGTCACGATAACGGTTTCGAATAGTGATTTCGGGAGGGGAGCTTACAAATGGCGTGATAAAGCTGATAAGTGACATCACGGGTTACTGAAATTTAAATTGAGGTCTGAGTCATCTAGAAAAAAATGAAAAGATGGTTCATCCAACCCTCTTTCCTATAAGCGCGAGAGTGAAAAAGGCTGTTTGGTTCTGACATAGTTTTGGACGCCAATGACCATAGCTGTCCGAGATGAAAGTTACAGGTTGCATACATGGTGTCCTCCAGAGGTCTCACAACTTGTATATCTGGGAATTTTTTAAGGTCACATGAGGTCAGTTCGGTCACGTGACATCATTGTTATAAGTCAATGGGGAAATATAAAAACTGTTATTTTGGCGCCGAGAATGATCTAAAACTATCTCACGTACCTACATGGTATCGTGATTTCATGCATTCCTTGCAAAGTCCAATGCTTCACTTTTGCATTGTTAACCTTGCGTGACGTCATTTATGACGTCACTAAGGTCGTACGAGTTTTTCGTCAATAACTCCCGATCAAAGTGAGCTAGAGAGTCGGGAAAGTCACCAATGGGCTTGGGAAGACCTTCCGAATAGAAAGATATGCCATATGATACCCTTTGCCCAGCTTAGTGACCTGAGGGGCTCTGACCTGACCTTGACCCGAGGTCAACTACTTAAGTTGACCTCACCCTAACAAAAAGTATACCATTCGACGCACCTGAGCTAGGCAAACACAATGCTGCCAAAACGCGTCTCTGCGGCCATTTTTTGCGAAGTTATTTACTTAAAACCGAACCCGTAACTTCAGTCACTTGACCTGACCTCAGACGCTACCGCTTAACCTGAGACCTTAAAATCGGGTACCACTCGCTGCGCCTTGTAACGGCACACACGCTCGTTTTTCCGCGAGGCTCTAGCAGGGCTGCGGAGTCGGAGTCGGAGTCGGAGTCGGTCGGAGTCGACAGTTGTGACCGGAGTCGGAGTCGAAGTCGGAGTCGATTTTAGAAACCCGAGCCGGAGTTGGAGTCGGAGTCACCGAAAATCCGTCGACTCCGCAGCCCTGCTAGGTCTGCGGAGTCGGCGTCGGGAGTTGGAGTCGGTCGGAGTCGACAATTCTGCCCGGAGTCGGAGTCGGAGTCGGAGCTGGTTTTTGAAAGCCGGAGTTGGAGTCGGAGTCGGAGTCGCTGAAAATCCATCGACTCCGCAGCCCTGGGCTCTAGCTCTATTAGAAGCGAAACGGCGTGCTGGGATCGTATCAACCCCTCCGAAACCCATTTTGTTTGCGGGAAAATGAGGAACTTACAGAAAGAACACCTTTCTATTTTTTTTTTTTGCATGTCGATTTGCAATGACATGAAGTTTATTTTGAGAAAATAAAAAGGTGAAAATTTTGATCCCAATAGTCATTAGAGGCAAATGAAAAAAGATTAAGGTTTTTGTTCAACAATGAAAATTTTTCTTTTGAATTTTTAAAAAGTAATACTAATTTTTGATTCATCGCAAGCTGAGTGTTGTTTACCGTTTGTTGGCTGCTTAACCCGTTCTTGAGTTCGGCCATCAAACTCAACGTTACAAGCCGAATTTAAAAAAAAAAATGTAATGCATGTAACTAAAAAAGTTTTGATCTGAGGTGATATTTTGCCAGGCGTCTTTGAGGTCTATGATTACCCCTAGGACCGATTTTCGTTAAAATCTGAGAGATTAGGGTGACGGGCCTGGTACGATCTATCGTGGAATGCCCCCGGCTAGCACAGGGCTGACTGGCGCTACTAAAGTTTTCGTCCGTTGCGGTCGGGAGCCGCGGCGCGGTGGGCGGCCCGGGCGGCCGCGCCGCCGCGCGGGCGGGCGGCCACAGCGGGGGTTTGTCGGTGCATCCCTCTGCTGTTCCTAAAAGAAGTGTCCTAGCGCCTCGCGACAAAAACAAACTAATTGCTCTTGACAAGATCTCGCGAGTGAGCATATTACTTTTGACTTAAAATCAATATTTGACCTACTTATAGCAGGTCAAAGTTAAACGTTTGTCGAAATTGCAATCCGCGGTGAAAGCAATCCGCCCCGACCGCGACACCCGAACGCGCCGGACAAAAACTTCAATAGCGCCGGTCTGCCCTGTGCTAGCGCCTTAATTCTTTCACGGTGTGACTCAGAAATGGATAGGGAATGCTATGGTATGGTGCACTGGCGGGCACATACTGTGTAGACTGCTGTAGGTGAAACGAAAGCAAATATTTTTTAGTAAAAAACTGCGATTGCAACATGATGACAAATGATTAGATCATCACCAAACCAAAAAAGATGCGGCTTTTTGTGACCCGCAGCAGGCTTTAGGGATCATTGCCATGCATAATTATTAATTTGTGCAGTTTGTATTAAATGAACGCAAGCTAGCGGCGTTTGAACTTGCAAATATGTGACAGTCATTTTACGACATAGAAAATGTCACGACTTCTGACAATCATACACGAGGCCGGTTTTGACAAAAATATGAAAACTATGTGATTTCAGATGTGCCAATCATTTATTTGGCTAGCCATTTAGCGATTTACCCGGTTTGGTAAACTTGACTTTTTGGTATTTATGGCCACTCGTCAACCCCATTTGCATCACTGTGCAGCTGCCCAGCGGCGGCCGGCCGAAACGGATTTCATCCACAAAAGAGACGAAATATACCATTCGAAAGCTGACGGTGAGCTGATTCCAAAAATACATTTTTATCAAAATCGTGTGATGGCCTTTTCCAACAATTACGTTTTTGTAAAAATGTAATACTTTTTTAATCTAAGGGACATTCTTGAAATCATTGGCATTTTTTCCTGTTCCATTGAAAGCTGAACGGCAAAAGAACAATTTGTAGCGAAAAAAAAAATTATCAACTATTAACATGCGTCTCTCACCATAGTTATAGCCATTGTCAGTTTTATTGAGAAGTGCATAAAACATGACTTTTCTGTTCTCACGTCATGAACATGTTTAAAAGGCAGGGTACTTAAAACTACTATAGTATGGCAAACTTAGGAAAGAATGGATTAAAATGTAATGTATAAGATGTATAAATGTGATTAAAATGTATATCTCGGAATTTTGATATCGGTGACCTAAGGTCAGGTCAATTTTGCGGCCTCTCCATTATAAGTCAATGGGAGAAAATTGAAAAGCGTCTGTTTTGCACGAACGCTATTCTAGACACTCTCAAACATCGAGATGTAGGTACAATTGACACAATGAACCGGAAAATGGCAACTGTGACCCCTCGTTATGTCCCCGAGGTCATCTCGGGTCACGAACAGAATCTATCAGTTTTTCGCTTATGACTTCTGATAGAGGCGTGCTAGAGCGCTGAAAATGCTTTAGATGTGTTCGGCTCGACGCTGCGGATCGACTGATACGCAACATGACCTTTTCTGGTCAGGTCATGACTCGACCTTGACCTGAGGTCAAATTTTCAAGTTGACTTTTCAAGGTCAATTTATAGTTCCTTTGACGCGTCTCGACAAGAGGAACACGATGCTTGCAAAAGTAATGTCATGGCTCTTTTGAGTCAAAAGTTATTGCCGAAAAACCACTTTTCGTAATAACGGCTATTTTTGGAGTTTTTGGCCTCTGGAGGCTAAACCGTTGACCTGAGGTCAAATCTGAGAACACTACTCAGACAGGTCTGTAAAAGGGCTATCGAATGCGCTTTTCCGCGGCGCTGTAGCTCTATCGGTTCCCGAGATAGTCATCGGCAGTTTTCCAAAATGTTGAAATAGTCAACATTTTACCTTTGGTGACCTCTGGTGACCTGACCTTTGACCTGACCCAAAAAATGACCGAAGTGTTTTCGTCCTTATTTTGGACGTTCTTTCGATTGCCGCTTACCTCGTGTCCCTACGTGGCCCAGGAGCCGAGTTGACGGGGGGGGGGGT